AATGTTTATGGGATGAGTAATACATGTCTTTTTTTTTTTTAAAAAAAAAGGGAAGCTAAATAGATATATCAATAAGAAGCTTACTTAATTTCAGATTTCCACTTTTGGAACTTTCTACGTCATAGCTTTCTCCTAATTACTGTGCAGGACCCTAACGAAGCTGAGATGCTCAGGAAGAAAGCACTTACATTTTTGAGACGTTTTTATTTTATTATTTTATGTGTATGGGCATTTTGCCTCATGTAGGTATGTACACCATGTATATGCCTGATTCCCACGGAGGCCAGAAGAGGGTATTGGATCTCCTGGGACTGGAGTTACAGACTGTTGTGAACTGCCATGTGGGTGCTGGGAATTGAACCCGGGTCATCTGAATGAGCAGCCAATGCTCTTAACTCTTGAGCCATCTCTCTAGTTCCAAATATCACATATTTTCATTTATGACTAGACAACTCTACAGAGACTTAAGGAATTCTTGCTAAGAAAGCATTGGTTTCCGTATGTGGAGGTTTGAAGTGAGTGGAGTATGGAGCTCCTTGTAGGGATGTGATAAAACTATAATAATAATGATTATGATAACGACTGTAGAACTCCAAATCACTAAAAATACTTAAGCAATATACTTTATATCCGGGAGTTGTGGGCACATGAATTAACGGTGTAATTAACAGATGAACACTTCAGCCTCCAATAGTTTTACCACTGTGTTTAGACTGAGCTATTAGCTTTATTAGCCATTCACACAATTTTATTATTTCATGCTCTATCCTCATTTTCATCCTCCTAAAATTCATAGTCCATGAATTTGTAATCTGAAATCTAAACAAGTTGTGCTGAGGATTAACGTCGTATTATTTATAGAACAGAGAGAATTAAAGCCTCCTAAAATATTTCAGAATCAATTAGCAACCACATTTGTTTATGTGCTGACAGCAAATTCATTTAATCCCAGGCACAATAAATCTCAATAATCCATTAAGAGTTTCAAAATTACACTTAGGACTGGGGATATGAAGCAAAAGGTAAAGAGCTTACTGTGCAAGCATGAGAACCCAAGTTTGGATCCCCAGAATCCATGAAAAGGCAGACAGCACATTTCTGTAATCTCGGGTTTTCTATGGTGTGGTAGAAGGTGAAGAAATGAGAATCAGTCTGACAACCACGGTCTGATCCCTGAGTTCAACATAACTGAAGGAGAGAACGGACTCCCAGAAGTTCTTTGACCTCCATACCCATTCACACATTTACACTTACACCTGCATCTACACGCACACACACACACACACACACACACACACGCACACAAATTATAATTTAAAAGTTTTAGATCTGGTGTGGTGGCTCAAACCTGTAACCTCAAACACTCAGAAGACAGAGAAGGTAGTTCTCTGAGTTTGAGGTTAGCCTGGTCTACATAGTGCATTCCAGACACTAGGATTACACAGTGATACCCAGGTTTAAAACAAAACAAAACACCACCACCACCACAACAAAAAGCTTCACATTTACCTAGCCTTACTTCCAATCTATATATTCCAAGTTTTAATAATTAAACTTTATTTTTAAAGATTTACTTTTAATATTAAAAATTTAAAAATATTTTGTATGCATTGATGTTTTACCTGCATGTATGTCTGTGTGTGAGGGTGCTGAATTCCCCGGAGCTGGAGTAACAGACAATTGTGAGCTGCTATGTAGGTGCTGGGAATTGAACCTAGGTCGTCTGGAAGAGCAATCAGTGCTCTTAACCTCTGGACTATCTCTCCAGGTCTCAAATTAAACTTTAATACTCAAGACAATTTACCTTTACATGGGTGACATGGAACAAAGAAGAAGTGATCTTTCTGAAGTTGCTAAGCAAATATGGCAGCCATTGGTCATATTGCTACTGAGCACTGGAAATAGGACAGACCCAAATGAAGATTTACTGTTTCATTGTTTTTTTTTTATGTGTTGTGTGTGTGTCCTTGTGTTTACACGAGGGTGGCTGCACCTCTGTGGATGTGCAACTGGAAGCCAAGGTATGCATCAGGTGCTCTTGCTGAACCTGAAACTTACTTACTGAACCAATTCTTACTAGCTTGGTTGCCTAGCTCACCCTGGGGGCCTGTCTCCCTGAATGCTGGGACTAGAGGAGTGCTACAACTGCTTGGCTTTTACACATGTTCTAGGGATCTGAGCTCTAGTCCTCATTCTGGCATTGTAAGCCCTTTATTCAGTGTCTCGTTTCCCCAGCCTAGCATTCACTCTAATGATAAACACACACTAGGCTTTGAGGACTTAGTCCAAACACAACAAAAAAGACAGGGTAAAATGTTTAGTTCTTTATATCAATTATGAGTTAAAATGACATTTTGGATCTATTGAGCAAATTACATGCAATTAGTTTCACTTCTCATGTGGTTGCTGGAAAATTCTCTTCTTCGGCTTTGGTTGTCAGTTTCAATTATTTGTAACCAACTGTTATCTGAAAGTCCAGTTCGGTACAGTAAGACACTGTGGGAGGAAAGAGCATATTCATCCAAATCTTTAATATTGTTAAAATTGTTCCATTTTCTTATTTCTAATCTAATTGTGGCCTTGTGTTTGGATAAGAAAAAAAAATCCCACTGTGTCTAGGGTCACTGCCATCCAAGACTCAAGGTCAGGAACCATCCTCCTGTGGATGGTACTGCATGTGGCTCACACTACATCTCTCTAGGGGAGAGCCGGTCTAAAGAAATGTATGTTTTTGAGTGGGGTGGTAAATATATACCAGGAATCAAAGGTTACAGTTTCCGGTTGTCTCTTTTTCACATATTGGTGAGTTTCCGGGAGTCTTTAGCACAGCTGGAAAAGTCACAACACAAAGCCAGCACTGCATTCTCCTAAGACGCCACCATTCTATGGTCCCTGTGGGAGGCAGTTCTCAACCTGTGGGTCTCGACCCCTTTGTGGGTTGAATGACCCTTTCACAGGGTCACATACCATCAGAAATAACAGATTTATATTGCGACTCAGAACAGTAGCAAAATTAGCTATGAAGTCACAATGCAAATTTTATGGTTGGGTGTCACAACATGAGGAATTGTATTAAAGGGTCGCCGTACTATGAGAACCATTGACCTAGAGTCTAGACACTCTCTCAGTTTCCAACTGCAGTGAAAGAGGAAGTTTCTATTGTTTCTGTTTTGAGACTGTGTCTTTCAGTGTGGCCCTGGCTGTGGCTATCCTAGAATGCATTATATAGACCAGTCTGGCCGGCACCTCAGGCATCCTCTTACCTCTGCCTCCATTACGCCTGGTTAGGGGGAGAAGTTCTTAGTTTCAATAGTTCAGACTTTCTGGAGAATACATTTTCAGTACAGAGCAAAGCAACACAGCTTTAAATCTGCTTTGACTAAACCTGTGGATGTTGGTATCTAGTGGGAAGGGCAGACAGAACGAATAAAAGGTGATCCTAGAGGAAGTCAGAAAAGCAGCCTGGAAGCAAGGTGAGTTTAAGGGAGACTCCTAGAGTGAGGTCCCTTCCTTCCTTCCTTCCTTCCTTCCTTCCTTCCTTCCTTCCTTCCTTCCTTCCTTCCTTCCTTCCTTCCCTTCCTCTCTCCTCCTCTCCCCTCCCCTTCTTCTTTTGCTTTTTCCAGATAGTGTTTCTCTGTGTGATAGCCGGCTCTGACTATCCTGGAACTCACTCTGTAGACCGGGCTGGCCTCTAACTCAGCCACCTGTCTCTGCCTCCCAAGTGCTGGGATTAAAGGTGTGCAATACCATGCCCTGCTGGGGTCTATTTTTTTCTTTTATTGTTTTGGTTTTCCAAGACAGAGTTTCTCTGTGTAGCCCTGGAACTCAGAGATCTGCCTGCCTCTGCCTCCCAAGTGCTGAAATTTAAGTGAGTTCTATTTCAAGTGGGAGATCCTGAGCCATAGTATCTAATTACAATTGAATCCCACTTGCACAGTGTTGTACTGGAACTCAGTGCACTGGCCTTCAGTCACCAGCATCCCAGGTAAGACCTGCCCTGAGTAGAAATATGTGTCTTGGCCGATTGATTTGTCAACTAGGGCACTCCTCTCCAATATGGAGTCGCTGCCTACATATCTGGTTGTGAAGGGCTGAACTGTTGCTGCTGGGATGGAGGAGCTAAAGTCGGCAGAAATACAAAAGCAAGCCTCTCTCATTCTTCTCTGGAGACAGCGTATCATTTTTCTCACCAGATTTTCCAAAGAGTTCGTGATCACAAACCAAAAACTCCTATCCTATGGGAACACAGCACCATGAAGTGAGAAAGGCGATTTCACTGAATAAAGAAAAAAGCTTTGTTATCCTTCACTATGTAATCAAATTCTTATCTCCTTACAGCTTTTACACTGTGTGTGTGTGTATATGTGTGTGTGTGTGTGTGTGTGTGTGTAGGTTGGAAGACAGCTTGTGGAGGGCAGTTCTTGCCTTCCACCATGTGGGTTCTGGAGATAGAACTCATGTTATCCATCTTGGCAGCAAACGCCTTGCCAGCTGAATTATCCTGCCAGTCCCTAAATCCCTTTCACTAAACAGAAGGTCAGACCTTGGCCATACAGCTTGGGAACTTCTCTGCTCCCATCTCATTTCTAATGTCTGGAACATTGTTCATGTTCCTGACCGGTTTTATTTTCATTTGAGACAGGGTCACATCTAGCTTGGGCTGGCTTAGAATTCACTACGCAGCTTAGGAAAACTCTGAACTTCTGATCTGCCTGCCTCTACCCAACATTACCCAGTTTTAAGTGGCGATGAGAACGGAACCTGGGACTTCTTGTACGTTCGGCAAGTCCCCCAAACCTGAGTCATATCCTCAGCTCTGTCTTAGCTCATTTTCATGTTTCAAAAACGTACATACTAAATCTGGGCATGGTGTCACATGCCTATAATCCCCACACTCGCGGGGTGGTGCAGGAGGACTGCCACGAGTTCAAGCGTAAACAGGGCTGCAAGTAAGGCCCTGTCTCAGAAAAACAAATAAAAAGCACATACACAATCAGGCATGGTGGTACACACTTTTTATTCTAGCACTTGGAAAGTTATGGCAGAAGGAAACTGTGTTTAACAACAGCCTAGGGCACAAGTTAGTGAGAGCCTGTTTCAAAATATCAAGATAAAACCTCAAACCAGCATAGTCTGGCACCCAGATCACATTTACATGTAGTACTTGAGAAACTCTTATTTCATTTAGTTTTTACACACAAGCTTCTTTTCATTCAAATTGGCCACAGAATCTATCCCAATGTAAATACTACATGTACTATTGCAGCTGGTGCCAAAGTACTGGTTGATCTAGGAATCAATCAGGAGTTTATTTATCTATTTATCTGAGCTGAGGTTTTTGCTCACTATTGTTGCTTGGGCTGGCTCCAAACTCCTATAATTAAGTAATCTCTTGCCTCAATTTCTCAGTACCTCAAAGACAGAAATTCCCATATCTGTTAGGAATTTAACATTATTTTAACATTTTAACATGGCCACTTGCATGAAAACATGAAGATTCTTAAATCAACTAGCTTTAAAACATTTGAATTAAATTTGCTATTTGACAATTTTACATACATAAAAGTGCATCAACTACTTTCACTACTTCATAGATCAATCTCTGGTCACCCTTCCACCTGTAAATCTCTTCCCACTGCATGATTGGCCCTTGGCATATACAGTAGCTATGTGATTTATGGTTGTAATGGCCATGCCATTCCAGAAGATTGCATTTCATAGCCCTTCTACTCATCTTCTGGTTCCTATATTCTCCCTGCCTTTCCTTTGATAACGATAATTAAATAATCCCTAAGCCTCGAAGAAGTAAGAACTAGGAGTTTTGTTTCTTGTTTGTGTTTGGTAATTGTAAATAGAGGTTTCTCTGTTCAGACCTGTCCCACAGACACTTTTAAATAATCCCTCAAAATTCTTGGCCAAACAGTTCAGGCTTATTACTAAATGGCTCTTATTTTTAAATTAACCCATTTCTATCAATCTATGTTTTGTCATGTGTCTTGTGGTTTTACCTGTGCTCTGCCTGGCTATAGGCCAAAGCTGCTTTTATCACTTATTTATTTATGTATTTATTTGTTTTTTCAAGACAGGGTTTCTCTGTGTAGCCTTGGCTGTTCTGGAACTCACTCTGTGGTCCAGGCTGGCCTTGAATTTAGAAATCCTGCCTTTAAGCCTTTACCTCTGGGATTAAAGGCGTGAGCCACCACCATCAGACAGCAGCTTTACTATTTAACCAATGAGAGCAACATATAGTCAGCTTATGAAAGGTTCACCCTACAGTAAATAATGGCTACCTAGTACTATAACTGTATGTAATATGAAACATAGGACCCAGGCATGTAGCTCAGGTACACAGCTTATGCCTGTACTCTTAGGACTTGGGAAATCCAGCTAGGATTGTTAAGTTTAAGGCCAGACTTGGCTACATAGTGAATTCCAGGGTAGCCTTGACTAGAATTTGTTCGTTTGAAAACCAAACCAAATCTCTTAGGCTGACCAAATAAAAGTTGCCATTTTCTTTTCTTTGTGAGCAAGTCTCACTGTGTAGCCCTGACTGGCCTCTAACTCACTGAGTTCTCCTTGCCTCAGTCTAGCATTCTGGGATTAAAGTACGAGCCAACAAGCCCTGCCACTTTAAAACTCACTTATGTGGTTCTCAAGTGTAAACCTGGCCTCACACTCATGGCAATCCTGCCTCAGCCTCCCAGCTGCTGACCACAGGTCACCACACTAAGCTTTACCTTACTTTTGCATTAGGAAATGTACCAGTTTGTAGATTTGCTTCAGAGAATCCTTTTCCTACTGTTAACATCAAAGGACGTGTTCTGACTTCCATGCCAAGGCGATGGCTTATCCAACATCAAATTTCTAGAGCTAAACATATATTCTTAAGTCTCAAAATAGCTTGAAGAATCTGACTCATATCATTATTTTTTTTCGTTAATATTTACAACGATGCCTATACAGGGAGCCAATGAGATGGTTCCGTGGATAACGGTGCTTGGTGCCAAGACTGGTGACTGGGTTTGGTTCTGAGACTCCATGATGGAAGGAGGTAACCGACTTCTGCAATTGTTCTCCGACATCCACATGTATGCTGTGAGACATGTACATGAACACGCAAACAGGCATGCACAGATACAATAAATAAGATGTAACTTAAAAAGATTATGTGTGCACATACAATAAGATGTAATTTTAAAACTACAAAGAGACATATACAAATTGGTGAAATTGGCTGACATGACCAGGAAAATTAACTCTGCACATAGGCCTCAAAGTATTTCCCAGATGAGGACTATAAACTGAGCTTCTTTGTTTAAATGTTAATTTACATGTAGTACTGCAAACATTTCCAATAGGAGACCAAGTCTTCTCATAAACAACTCAGTTATTAGTTCTGTTTCTCACTCCTTTGTGGTCTTAGCAGCGGCACAGGCCAATATGAAGAAAGGTTTTCAAGTGTGTTTCAGGGTCAGCTCTAGGATACACGCTAGTCACTCTTCCCCAGTCATTTCTCTACACTCCAGAAAGCACAGTGGGAGGGATGGCTGTGACCAGGCCACGCCATCAGTCACCCCAATGGATGCTGCTGTACCTGATTCTCACATTCCATACCTCATCAAGACACTGCATGCCACCTGTCAAGGATCTTTCACTCACTGAGTGCCTTACTTTCCTTTAGTCTGGGACAAGATGTTTCCATGCACTCAGTTTTAGAATATTTATTTGATTTATTTACATAATTAGAAGAAAGGAATTCTCAAAAAATATTTATTACATTTGTTTCTCGAAATAATAGAAAATAAAATTAGTAGAGTCACAGTATACAACTTCACAAAGGCATATCCATTCCTTCAGAGAAAGGTATTTTGGTGGCGCCCATGATGGAAATGCTGAAGCCGCTGGTGACAGGTTAGCATCGCTGACGGGAGCCCTTGTAAGTTTTCCATGTTTTCTTTTTGATCACTAATTACTCTGGAGTCCAGTGGACAGAGTCCTGAAAGTAAAAGGCACCTAGAGGAAAATTATACCTTAACCAATAATATATTTTTTTCCTTTTTTGAGACTGGGTTTCTCTGTAATTTTGGAGCCTGTCCTGGAACTAGCTCTTGTAGACCAGGCTGGTTTCAAAACTCACAGAGATCTGTCTGCTTCTGCCTCCCCAGTGCAGGAATTAAAGGCTTGTGCCACCACTGCCTAGTTAATAAAAACTACTTCTCTCCACCAAGAAAAAGGCTCCCCTGAAATGCACTGATACTATCAACATGAAAGCCACTGCAAGGTAAGATGTATACAAACGCTTATCTGAATCTGACACACAGCCACACAATGAAAACCAAGTCGTATTTATAAACCCACAGGTGTTTTGTTACCATTGGACCAACATGAGTGTGTTAAGTATGGACTCCAATTTCTAGTCGAGATCTGTTTGCTACATTTGCTCTTGAGATGAACCACTGTGTACTCCAATTAAGGACTTATAAAAATTCCTGGTGTTTGTACTTCAGGTGCACAGCAAAACCTAAAACTGCTACTTTAAACCAAAGTCCCCCTTTTATTGTTATAAAATCATAATGCTGATATTGTACTAGGATTTAAGTACCTAAAGTATATTCTGACCAATTTATATCTTCTGAGCTATAATTAGGATCCTCAGGATTTGTATGTATACAAATATTGCAAATTATTTCTTTAAGCTGACAAAATTTTTTTAAAAAATACAAATAATCCTTTACTATAAAAGTTTTAAAAAATCAAATATGGGTCAGCAATTAAAAGAGAAAAGAACAGGTCATCGAGCAGGCACTTGTCTGTGTCTCTCATCGGAGCCAGTTTGTATTCAGCTGGGTCTGCTTCTTGATGCTGGTGTCCATTTTTAGCACTTCCCGAATGGCCATGGTGGCATAGGTAGAAGGAGGAAGAGAGAAATCCATCTTCAGAGCCCGGTATCTGCCCTCTGCCAGGCAAGAGAGAAGTGCACGTGAAAACTTTTGTGGCTGCAGGCTGACCAGAGATCCCAAGACTCCCTCCAAAGCTACACCCTTTCCTTAGGATTCTTCTCCCCAAGGGACCTCAGAGAATGAGACCATGGAAATGAAGGCACAGGAGGTACGAACGAGTTGGGTGGATGGGGTAACCTGACTCAGGATAACAGGGCAGGCAGGGCTGGCAAGATGGCTCATCAAGTCAAAGTACCCATCACTGAGCCCGACGACTTGAATTTGATCCCTAGGACCCACATAGTGAAGAGAACTGGCTCCCACAAGTTGTCCTCCAATCTACACGTGTGCGCCATGTGTACACAGACATAGACAGACAGGAAGACAGACAGACAAACATCTTGCTGATTTACCAGAAGCAAAAACTGGTGGTGGTTTTCCTTCTAGGTTGTCCACATCCGTGTTGAAAAGTGGAATTTTAGGATCATCGTATGCAATGACTTCCCTTCAAAATAAAAAAGATAAACATGAATGTGAGCGCTCACATCCATCCCCATTTGTAGAGCCAGAAAAACATATAGGTAGGCTAGCAGGTGTCCCCCAAAACAGAAAGGCCAGATTCTATGCTTTCTATTCCTTTACAACAGATGACAAATGCTATCAGATGATAAAGTGACTTGGAAGGTTTCCCTAGCATGGTGGCTTTAGTTCGTACAGGTGAAGTGGAAGTAACCATGACATTAACACATCCTCCACAGTGAGCACCACTGTCACCACCTTTATTTTTTTAATTCTCCACCTTCTTATGAGAGGAACTGCTCTCCAGAGTGTGGAAGGTAAAATCCAACTCTGCCAACTCCGCGCCCATTGTCAGGAAAGAAAAGAGAAAGGGAGGAGGGGGGAGAGGGAGAGGGGAAGAAAAAGAATTTCCTGGCAATGGGCAACTAGTTCAGGATTTCATTTTAAAGTGAGAAAAGCTTCAGCAAATACTAAAAATATCAAAAGTATCTTTAATATATATATGTATGTGTATATATATATATATATATATATTCTAATTTTATTTAGTATGTATGAGTATTTTGCCTGAATGTGTATCTGTGTACTATGTGTGAATGCCAGAAGAGGATGTGGATCCCCTGGAACTGGAATTACAGACAGAGCTGCCGTGTTGGTGCTGGGAATTGAACCCCGGTCCTCCTGAGGAACAGTGAGTGTTCTTAACTGTTTAACCATCTTTGTAACCCCTGGAGCAAATGGAAGTTTTACAGAGAAAGATCATGTTCTGTAAGTCAGGGATACCAACAAAATGTAAAAGAAGAAACTTTTAGTATATGACTTCAGTCAACACTAATTTCTTAGTCACTTGAAAAATACCAACTGGTGGCAGTAGTAACAGCAGTGATCAGGACAGTCAGCAGCTACGGAGCACTTACTCTCACAGAAACACATACACACAAAGCAAAAACCCGTGGTTCTACAAAATGATCTGGTTCTGTATCAGTCTGTACTCACCAGCTGACATTCTGAGGTCGAATAATGATCTTTCGGTAGGCACCTGATAAAGAGTAATCTCGAATTGTGTGTCTCATGTTGTCAATATCAAGACTGTCTGTAGCGAGCATTTCCCTGTAGGCTTCACTAACTGTTACAAAACACAAACAGTTAATCAGAATGCAGTCTGCCAGCAGATTAACTTGAACTGGCATAATATGTGGTAAGTCCAGTCAGACTGTCCTTAAAAAGTTAGTTAGCTCTACTTTGCAACCCAAAGGGAATAAAACTTAGCAACCAGGCCTAAAAGACACCTCCAGCTTTAGTGTAGTCACCCTGTGGCTTTATTTTTGTAATCAGCTACAGGGTTTGTGGCATAAAGTTCCTAAACTAACTCCCAAAGGTCACTCTACATGGAGTTTCTAAATACAATTTATACACAGTGACTCTACATGTTTAAAAACATAAGATCCTAGAAACCATCTGGTTTACCCTAGGCCATGACTCTCTAACGTTCTCTTACATGACATCTGTGGGGACCGTTACACAAGCCACAATATGAGAAAGTTCCTCCTACTGCAAACAGGTTCTGTTTTCTTATGGGCTCTATTGACTTCTCTGAAACACGGTAGATTAGCTGGCCTCTGCATACATCCACAGCACTGGAACCATAGGCTGTTTCATTTGACTTTGGTTCTTTCAACTGTCTCTCCTCTAACAGTTTTGGTTATCTGCCCCAGGTTACAGGACTCAACAGTAGCTCCAGATACTTTATTTTTGTTGTTGTTGCTTTTCTATTTATTTATTTTAGAGAGTGTTTCCCTGTGTGTTCCTAGCTGTCCTAGAACTAGCTCTATAGGCCAGCTTGGCCTCAAACATAGAAAATCACCTGCCCTTGCTCCTGAGTGTTGGGACTAAAGCCATGGGCCACCACACCCAGCTCAGATACTTTTTAATTCATTTTTTTTCATTTTATTAGTTGTGTGTGAGTGTGTATGTGTATGAGAGAGCGAGCACAAGCGCGCTGTGTGTGGGCGTGTATGTGGAGGGCAGGGCACACATATGGAGGTTAGAGGATAACACTGGTGTTGGTCCTTTCCTTGACTTCACACGTGTTCTAGCAACACAAACTTAGGTGTCATATGGCAAGTGCCTTTACCCATCTTGCTGGCCCTTAACATTTTTTCTTTCTTTCTTGGAGACAAGGCCTCACTATGTACCCCTGGATGGCCTCAAAGTCACAGTGATTACCCTGCCTCTACCTCCTGAGTCACCAAGCACAGGATTCATGGCCTTTAATTTTTTTTTTATAAGCTACCATCAAGCTAATTTTTCTTTTCATGATTAAACAAATTCAGCTTTATTTACGGAAATGTATGTATGTTTGTGTGTAAATATATGTATATGTGCATGAGGGTGACTAGGGAGGTCAAAAGGTGGCCCTGGAAACCCTTGGGGCTTAAGTTGCAGGCATATGTGTGCCACCTGGGTGCTGAGAACTGAACTCAGGTTGTCTGGAAGAGTAACAATCTTTCTTGACCACTCGGCCATCTCTCTAGAATGTTGCTATGTAGCTCAGGAGCCTTTTCCCGATTACTAACATTAACTTCATCTTACATTATTTACAAATATAAGACGACTTAGGAACACAGTCAACTCATTTCTTTATTCAAATTAGCCATTACAAATGCCTGAAATACAGGGACAAGGAAAGAAGACAGTCTCACCATACCCCCGAGAGCCTAAAGGTACTAGATGTGCTCATGTTATCAAAGGTCCAAATGCTCAAGGCTTCCTAGTGTCCCTTTTATCTCGTCAAAGGCCCTGTCAAATGTTCTGCTGAATTTATTTTTACTGGAACCAGCCAAGTTCCAGATTCTTGAGAGGAATAAGAGAGAGGGGAGAACATTCTTTGCCTTTTTTTGCGATGGCTATCGGCTTGACCAATTAGTTTTTCTTAACTTGATACAAACTAGGGTCACCTGGGAGAAGGGAACTCAGCTAAGGAACTGCTTCTATCAGATGGGCCTGTGGCATCTCTGTGGCACATGTTCCGATTTCTGGCTGCTGTAGGAGGGTCTAGCCCAGCGCAGGCGGTGCTCTCCTTGGACAGGGTGTCCTGGGTGTCCTGAGGCAGCAGGCCAGTCAGCAGCACTCCTCGAGTTCCTTGTCTCCTCCTGCGCAGTTCCTGTCCTGACTTTTCTCAACGACTGTGTGTGACCGGGCTGTGCGAGATATGGGGGGGATATCTTTCCCTCCCCAGGTTGCTCCTGATCATGTGCTTTATCACAGGAACAAAAACTAGGACACTCGGGCAGCAAACTGGTAAACATTGTTTATTCTCACGTTCCAGCTGAGTCTGTCCCACTGCCACTGAAGGGGAAACCCAGGGGATCTGCTCTTGATCAGACCAGCTAGCGGGGCCCCTGCAGCCGTGCCAGTAATGGTGGTTCTGGAGGAGACTGGCGAGAGAATCAGTGTGGAAGATTCACTCTTAATGTGGACATGCCCTGAACAGACCAAAAGGCAAAAGGCAAAGACCTGGAACACTACTTTTCTCCTGCTCCTGGACTTCATGACTCTAGGTTCTTGTACCACTAGCCCCAGACTGACAGAACAATGGCAGAGACTTCTCAGTAGCTATCATCAAGTGAGCCAGGGCCTCATAAATCCCTTTCTTAGCTCTCTGCTACCTGTTCCTGAAGGATCCTGACTAAAACAAGGGTTTGCATGTTTCTTTTTCTTAAAAGCACGAGAACAATTTCATCAGAGTTTAAAAGAAAAACTCTAAAGAAAGCAAGCTGTAGCTCTCAGTAGCTGTCCAGGAGAGAAATGGAGACGAGGAATACAGCAAGCATGACATGAGGGAAGCTACACCTCAGGAAGAGGCAGAACCAACAGAACGGCAGCTGTGTGACAACCACAGCTTTGGCATCTTTTTTTCTTCTTCCTCACCTCACAGGCCCATGATACTGCAGTGGGGTAGCTTTTAATTTATTCTCCTGAATATATTCCTTTCCAGGACCATAAAGTTATATATATTATACATATATATGTGTGTGCATAATGTGTATATTATGTGTATATACATAGTACATATATAATTAAAGAAATTTACACACACACACACACACACACACACACACACACACACACACTTTTATATAGAGCTTTCTATGTTAGCCCTTGGTGGTTTGGAACTAGCTTTGTAGGCCAGACTAGCCTTGAACTCACAGAGATCTACCAGCCTCTGCTGGGATTAGCCATTACATTCAGTTACATTCAGTTGTTTTTGAAGGCTAAATCTCTATTAAAATGTGCTATAAAGAAAGTTTTAAGACTATAATTCAAATATTGATTTTTCCCATGCTTTACTCTTGGTTACTGATAACTTAATCACATTACACTTGTTTTAAATATTTGGCTCAAACATGGAACTTACTTTTATGTTTGGGGTAGATAACATCAAAACCAGGCAGGGGCATCACCATGTCATGAATGGAGTAATTATCAACATCATCTTCTTCAATATAGGTGGCTGTGGCTGCAAATCCACAAGCATAGCAGTTTAAGAAAAAGCATTTTCATGAATTCGTGATCCTAAAATTATATATATCTCAGTGAGTTGAAAGCACAAGGTGTCCAGGTGCAGAGGCCCAGGAAGCTTAGAATCCCTCCTTTTTTTAATCAGCTGGAATCTTAAGCAAGTGGCTAAATCTTGTAAAAATCAGAATACTTCCCAGTAGCACTACAACAGAGCAAGGCAGGGAAAGTGTCTGGTGTAAGATCAAAACACAGTAAATGTTTGGTAACGGACAGGAGATTAGCATTTCCTTTAAAAATTATTTTATTATCTTGTGTGTAAGGATGTCTTGCCCGCATGTATGTTTGTGCATCACGTGTCGTAAGTATCCCCGGTGGCCAGGAGAGGGCACCATATCCCTGAAAATGCAGTTATAGACAGCTGTGAGCTACCATGTGTGCTGGGAATCGACCTGGCTAATCTGGAAGAACAGCCTGTGCTCTTCACAGACGACTCAATGCTCTAGACCCATATTAACATTTATGTTAATGCTTCAGACCATTCTGTTACATACTTAGTAAAGAAATTGCCCGATAATGCAATGAGAGGCTGTGACACACCCATATATATATATATATATATATATATATGGAAGACCCAGATTAATATTTGTAAAGGACTTTGGGCCAATCGTAGCCCAAAGGTTATTCTGTTATACTAGCTGGAGGCCCAGACTTAGCTGCTTATTCAACACATACGTATTTTTTCACTGGTGATTAAAAACTATCTGCCTGACCTCATGTGAGCTTCCAACTCCCACTTATTACACATTTCTTTCTTAACTAGTAGCCATGCTGGATTTCAAAAACACTGCTATAAAGTACCTGAGTCCTAATCTGTCTGAATAACAACAGTATATATGCCATACCTCCTTTGAGAACAAGGTCCCCTGGGACAGGTTTCAGCCCGTAGTCTTCTATCCTTTTGCTCACCATGTTATTCCACACATAGCTTTGATAACTATGGATATACATTAAGCGATTATTTCTTGGTATCTGCAGAGAAGGGAGAAATAGGCAAAAACAAAAACAATTCTGAACATTTAAAGTGTTGTTTCCCCAAATATTTTACTCATTTAATGGTAATCCCAACACAAGAAACACAGACTGGGTCAGCTCAGTGGGAAAGCACTTCAGAGTGTCCTGTATTATACACACAGACATGAACTAGGCTTACCAAGATGGCACCTCAATTGAAAACACGCTAACAGGAAACCACTTAGCTACTTCCTGTTGAACTCCCTTCCTGAGGCAGTTTAAAGCTCCAATGAGGATGATTACACAGTGGGGTCAGACTGATGGTTCAGTAGGTAAAGGCTCTTGCGTTAAACCTGATCTCTGGGGACAGACATGCTATAAAGAGAGAATGAACTCTCGAAGGTTGTCCTGGGCTGTGTGCTCAAGTCCATGAACATGCTCTGCATAGGCACAGACATAAATTCAAGTTCTAAAAGACATGACTGCAGAATGTGCTCTGAATACCCTCCCCTCTTTTTTTTTTTTTTGCGACAGGGTTTCTTTGTAGCTTTGAAGTTTGTTTGTCTTGGAACTTGGTCTGTAGATCAGGCTGCCCTCTGCCTCCCAAATTCTGGGATTAAAGGCGCCTGTGACCATTGTCCGATTGAATTCTAAAATTTTCAAATCCCATTCAATTACATTACATTCAATTGGCAATTATATTTTCCATAGACACTTTTTTGTGCCAATGCTAATAAACACCACCAACATTTCCCACATCTACCAGCTCATCACCTTCCAGGGTCAGAATGAGGTACTCTAATAAATTTCTTTGAAGACTATTGAAGGATTCTTATTTGATGCCCTTTCAAGTTTTTTAAAGATTATGTTTAATAAGCATTAACCACCTTGAGTCATTGCCTGACTTCACAAATTGCACTCACTATGCCAAATGCAGAGACTATATTCTTCATTCCATATTTTGAAAGTCCTCGAAGCAGCTGCCCTTCCACACACCTTTTGACAGGTAGTTTTTTGAGGGCAGAGGCTGGATCTTTGGTCTTGGCCCATTCTTCTCTGCATTTCACCAAGTACCCCTTTTCAGCTATGAGAGAAGAGAAGCTATGATCAAACTTTCCAACAGAAGAATGTGCGTCACTTCACATGCCTCATAGGGAGCAAAGAACTGGGGGAAAATGCGTATGTATTGAAGGAGCTCACAGCTGCCCAAAAGCAAGACCATGGGCTCCATACATGAGCAGTAAGAGCAAGAGTGCATCATCACCTCAGCTAAGGAGGTATTCGCTTCTTTTTGTCCCTGTACTGCTTGCTTGAAAATTAAAAACAGATTTTTTTTAGATGAAAATAGTTACCTAAAATGAGTATTAATGTTTGGACGTTTTATAAAGTATCAGCTAAATCATCCCTTTTTTACAGTATAGTTTTAGAGATATTTCCTGGAAAAATTTTAGTCATTATATTATGGTTTAAAAAAATAGTCATACATATACATTATCTATAAACACAGAATTCGTAGTAACTGAAGAGAAATGAACTTACATTTAAACATGCATTAATAAATCAGATAAATAAAAAGCTAGAACCAGAAGATAGTTTTAAAACTTCAATACTATATGTAAAATTGTGAAAATGAAATGGCATTTAAAAATTAAAAAAAAACCACCAAGAACTACAAAATAACAACCTTCAGTTACTTTTACTTAAAGTAATTCCATGAATATATAGCTATACATTCTATGCATTTTATTACAACACAAATCTTTTTCTCACCTCCAGAACGGGGTTTCAGGATTAAATCCATGACTTCTGTCCAGGCATTCTGTAGAATAGCTCTAGAATTAAACAGGATTTACTGGCTTATCTTTGCATAAGATAAGCTTTCTATGCTCAATTGTTAAGAAGGTAACAAGAAACACTTATTAGTTTATTCAGTTTAAAAGCATGTAGGAAAATTATGACACAGACTTTAGAGACCATCGTCTACCACACAAGGCTTCTCTGGGGCTGGAAGGAGGGCTCACTTATCAAGAGTGCTCACTGCTACTGCAGAGGGCCTGAGTTTGGTTCCCAGCACCCACATCCAGCAGTTCACAGCTGCCTGGACTTCAGTGGATCTGTTGTCCTACCTACATTGAGCACGCACAAACCCATACAAGACAAACTCTGCAGAAGACCTGGATTCAGTTTCTGAATGCCCAGTCACACACGGGACAACTATTTCATCTCCTCCAAAGAGCAGGGAGCACCAAAAGAGGAGTGGAAAGAATGCTAAAGCGGGAGGCAGGGCTGAGGAGAGAGCTGACGTCTGAGCATGACATGACTGCCGCACTCCTGAACGCACAGCAGTTTTGACTACTCACACACGGTTCCCAGAAAACTGGTCCTGTCAATACCATCATAGAACGGAGTGGGAGTCATGCACATTCAGTGGGGAGTTGTCCATGCGTCTGTAAACAACTCTAATGAAGCTCAATGGGACACAGCTGGGATACACATAAGTCAATGTGGAGAAAGCTGGAAAGGAGCAGGTGGTTGGAGGAGGGAGGGTGGAAGAGGGTGTGTGGGGGGAGAGTAAGAGTGAATAGGTATACATACGAAAGTAATGAAACCAGCTGGAGTATGTAATTAATAAATGCCAAGAAAAACATTTTAAAAAGCTCCAGTTGTCCTTTTGCTATGGGGTGGAAGAGATTTTCATTTATTGTCTTTATATATTCTGGATTCATCTTCTGTTTGACTGTATACTGAGACTTGGCATTTCCCCTTAGGAAATCCTATGGTGATACTGTACGTTCTATTAAGGCAGAAAATACTCTGACGCTGTGAAAATAAATTGTTTGGAACTAAGTTGGGCACATCACACAACTTCTGTTTCTGGGTAAATCTAACAGCACTTTACTACGCAATTATTTGTACTAATTTTCTTTGGGGTACAAAACTAGGGTCATAAGGCTGGGCTTCTGCTTTACCTAAAAACGCACAGATTGATACAGCCCTTCCTTAAATTATCTGTGCTACAACAATCGACATCTGTAGTACGCTTATCTGTATTTCCTATCAGTTATTATAGTGGCTTTGTCTTCCTCAGTGCTGGTGATTTATCTGGTCTAGGACTTTGTGTATGGTAGGCAAGCACTCTATTAGCTGAGCTGTGGGAACCCCAAAATGTGAGCCTATTCCACCTTGTGTGAAGGTCAAAGAGTTTGAGCTTATTTTTGCTCTTTCAAAGTTTTTTTTTTTTTTTTTTTGTGGTTTATTTTTGAGACAGGGTTTCTTTGTAGCTTTGGAGCCTGTCCAAGCCTGTCCTGGAACTATCTCTTATAGACCAGGCTGTCCTCAAACACACAGAGATTCACCTGCCTCTGCCTCCTGAGTGCTGGGAATAAAGACACGCACCACCACAACCTGGTTAGGCTACAAGACAAGCTATTCTGACATAGGGTATGGTTACTTGGTGTTTTGGACCTTAAGAAGATCCATAGAGATAGATCTATTCCACCCTGACCAAAGGTCAGAGAAGTCCAGAATACTTCTGCTCCTTCTTTTGAAATAGGAGGTTTGACTTAGGGAGTGGCTGACTGTAGGATACTTGGTCTAAGGTGCGTTCACTGTCCCAAACATCAAATACTTTTCTCAGGAAATAATGGCTTGAAATCTCAAGAATTGAAACAAGAAACTGTACTGGTTGTCCTTTGTGTTATGTTAGAGCAGTCTTTTGCCTTTTCCCCCTTTTGTATTGGGATATAAAAGTATGTGGAAGATAAATGTGGGAGAAAATTTAGCATTCAGTATTCGTTGAATTGTTACTATCCTGTGTCTCTGTTTCTTTTGTATCTTTGGTCTTTCTATCTAACATTTCTAATCCTCACACCCCTACCCTGGAACGTCGAAGTCACCCCAAAAGGTGGCATATGACTCTGAGACACATTCTAGTCCTAAACTTTCTTCTTGCTGCTCTTGTTCTAAATTAGCAGATAGATCATTCTGTGCTGCCCAGGCTGGTCTGGTCTTTCATAGTCCTAATCGGCTGCCCAGGTAGCTGTCCTGGACTCCACTGTGCCTGTCTGGCCTCAATTTAGAAAGATCTCTATTTATTAATTACTTAGCATACTTTAAGACTAGAAATAGGTGTTGCATAAACACCATCTTCATTCCCAGCTTTCTGTGGAGTTGGCATTATTTCTACTTTACAGGGGAGCGGTCTGAGGCTAAGAACTCAGGCCTCACTTTACAACACTGCCCGAGAGGCAAAGGAGCTGCTGCACAGCAGACCAATCCCTTGGCTCTTGGAAAACCATATAAGCAGATACAACTTCATACTGAAAAACTGGACAAGAGAAAACTATTTCAATTGTTATTCAATTAGTATTCTTGAGAGCCCTCATGAAGAAGCACTTCTATCCTTGCTGAAACAGAATGAAGAACAAATGTTCTCAGAGAGCCTTCAGTTTGTAGCTACTATCACTCTAAATCCTGTATGAATAGTTACTTTATATAGTGGTCTCTACTGGACAGCAGGATTCTCACAGTATGTCTATGAAACCAATTAGTATTTATCGATGAGATTTCTACTCTAGTATACTCTGGAGAGCTTTCCTATTACCTAAATGTGAAGCAAGATCTTAAATTCCACATTACTAAGTCTATCTTCTGGAGTTGTCTTGAAAGGGTAGGGGAAGGGTAGATGAAAGATTAATCAACTGGGCCTTGCGTGTTAAGAGAGACCATAGTGTGCATGCCTTGGATCTGGGTACTCTGGGCCTGTGTTACCCAGGTTTTTACACTTGGCCACTTATTTGCGGAAAAGTAAAAGAGAACTCAGGTGTTATTCTTGGCACTCAGGAGGCAGAGGCAGGCTGATCTCTGAGTCTGAGGTCAGCCTGGTATACAGAGTTGTAATGGTCTGTCCTGTCCCTTTAAGAGACAAGCCCGGCCCACTCACCCCCCACACCCACCCCAGTCTCTCTCACCCAAAGAGGTACTGCTGCTGTGGCTCCTCTCATTTCTCTCTCGCTCGCTCGCTCGCTCTCCCTCCCTCCCTCCCTCCCTCCCTCCCTCCCTCCCTCCCTCCCTCGGTACTTCTCCCTTTTCCCCTCTCCCCTTTTCTCTTCATAATCTACTAAATAAATATCCAACCTCACGCTACGTGGGACTGGCTGCCCCGCTAAGGTCTCTCACCTGCCGCATGGCTCCTGCCTGGGATCTGTTGCCCCTAGGGGAACAGAGCCATTTTACCTTTACCATTACACAGAGTGAGTTCTAGGACAGACAGGATACACAGAGAAACCCTGTTTCAAAAAACAAAACAAAAAACACCAAAAAGGAAAACAAACAAACTAAAAGAGACCCCTTGAAAGGGCAGTGAAAAGAGTGGCAGGAGAACCTTACTGCTTAGGTCTTCAACTATGCGCATGTATGTGCTAGATATGTGCCTCTAGAAGCTAGACACCTTCCTCACCGGCTCTCTTGATGCTAGGCTAGTCTTGTTGGCTAGAGAGAGTAAGGGATCCGCCTGTCTTCACCTTCCCAACACTGGGGTTATAGATGTATCCCACCACACTCAGCTTTTGAGGAATAGTGGGGATCTGAACCTAGGACCTTATGTTTGTGTAGCAAGCAATTTACTGAGCTGTCTCTCCAGACCTCGTTTTCTTTTTTAGAAAACAAACTGCTGCATGCATTAACTGAAATAAAATAAACCTTACAAGGAACCTATGGATCAGTAGTTCATTTGTCCAAACATGACAGAATCCTGAAATAATCAATACACCATTAACAAAAATTTTACTTCTCTGTTATGCGAGAATAAATAAAAATATCCTTTAGATAGAAATTACAAAATTAAATACAAACTTTTCAAACAACGAAAACCTTTTGAGTCTCCTTTTAGATAAATGTTAGAGCTGATCATGGTGGTACACACCTTTCATCAAAGAACTCAAAAGTCAGAGGCAGGTCACTCTCTGTAAGCTCAAGTCCAGCCTAGTCTACACAGTGAGTTCTGGAACAGCCAGAGCTACACAGTGAGACAGTGTCTCAAAAAAACAAGACAACAAAACTCCAAAAAATAAAAAGATAAAAGTTAGAAATCAATTACATACCTTCCAACTTGGTACGTAGGGACAGCTGTGGTCCCAAATCTTTGCATGCCATAATAGTTAATGAAACCGGTCTCCTTCAGAGACTGCATGGCTTGCTGTACTTGCTCATCAGTTCCTGTTATATTCCTGCAGGGAAAAATACGGACAATCTCATTTTATGATGTATACCTAACAGTGGCTTCTATATCTCACCTTTGCAACCTTTTCTAACCTTCTGGGGATTTTGTTTGCTGGTTTATTATTTTAATCAACTTTAAAAAAAAAAAACCACAGGATCTCTCTGTCCTGGAACTTACTTGTGTTAATGTTGTAGATCAGACTGGCCTTGAACTCAAAGAGACTCCCCTGTCTCTGTTCTTTAACCTTTAGTGCCGGGATAAATGGCATGAACCACTAATGCCTGTCTCATTTTAATCAATTTTAAGTGCAAATTATTGTAAGATGAAGCACATATGCAATGTGGTGCAGATTTAACTATGCAGTCACCAAAATTGTTCACTACCCACAAATGAAATTTACTTATTTATTTTGCAAGTCCTGCTATATTGGCCCTGTCCAGCCTGCAAACCACGGAGCCCAAACCAGACTGACCTTGAAGGAGTTGCGTGATCTCCTGCCTTTGCCTACTGAGATTACAAGCCTGTACAACTATGCCTGATACCAAACTGAAACTTATACCAAAAAATAGCTCTCTGCTAAAGTAACCTAATCTTTCTATGAATATGCCCATTCTAGGCACCTCAGATTAATTTACAGGCTCTTTAGCTTTCAAAACTGGATCTGAAGAACAGTGTTTCTGAAGGCTATAAAAATCTTTGGAGGGAGGGACAAAGACCATTTATCAAGAGAAACACTATACAGTATTTGTTCCCCACTTCCACAGTCCTTGTTCTCCCAGCCAGCCCTCTGTACCAGCGACCCTGTACCTATCTACACACACAGGAACAGACCACGGAGACCCAGCCAGCCAGGTCTGCACTCCTACCTGAGTACTTTACCTGAGAACAACGGTGAAGTGATTTCCTTGAAGCTCTCCCAATTTCAGAGGGGTTTTCTGATAGCTGAAATTCCCTAGCTTAAAGTTCATCAAGCATTTATTCAGGTGGGCGAGTCTTTGTGCACTTATCCTTTAAAGAAAAAAGGGAGCAGACAAAGGATCATGAGATCCTGCAGAAGGCAAGGGCACACGCAGAAGGAATTTTAGGTGCACTTTTCCTTCCCCCTTGAATCAGTCTTATGGGTAACAGTACTATAATGAAGAGACTTCAACACCAATGGGAACACAGAAGTAAGAGATGTAGAGGATTCTACTTTCTGTGGGCAGGAGGTAACAAAGCGGATGGTACAGCAAACAGCAATCCCACAAAACTGTAAAGAGTGGGTTCTAACAATTAAAAAAGGGTTTAGTCATAATTGGCCCAGTAAGAAAAAATATTGTAAACTCATAACCAAAAGACAACCTCGGAAAACACAAAAACACCGAGAAGGAAAATCCATTGGTTCATCCCTTGAAAAAGCATTAGATTTTTGCACTTCCTCGTCCTTTCAGAAACATATTGAAGAAGTACATAGCTACAATCATACAAACCTGTATCCTCCTATTATTTTACAGAAGTGTTCCCATGCTGTTAAATTGTTTTATTAGTCTTTACCTTCCTCAACAGAAAATCTACATAGAACAGCAAATACTACCCTGAAAAGTCTTTGTTCTTTCTTTATCTCTACAACTCTCCTGACTTGCAGCACTTTCTTTCTTTGAAATATTTTATGTATTTATATGTAATTTTTTATTTTATATTTATTTCTTATTTTTCGAGACAGGATTTCTCTGTAGCTTTGGAGCCTACCCTGGAACTTGCTCTGTAGACTAGGCTGGCCTCAAACACACAGAGATCCACCTTTCTCTGCTCCCTGAGTGCTGGGATTAAAGGCATGCGTCACTATCACCTGGCTTATTTAGTTTACTTTTAATTAAGTGTATGTGTGTGTGTGTATGTGTAAATAAGTGCAGGTACTCCTGGAGGCAAGAGTCACTGGATCCCCCTGGAGTCAGAGTTACAGGAGGTCATAAATTACCCAATGTGGGTGCTGCTCACCAAAGCTCAGGTTCTCTGCAAGAACGGCTCACACTCTTTGCTGAACAAACTCTCTTGCCTCCTGGCCTGGAAAAGTTTTGAAATAAGATTAAGACAGCTGTAAACTGCCACGTGGGTGCTGGGAATTAAACTCTGGTCCTCTGGAAGATCAGTCAGTGCTCTTAACCACTGAATTTCCTCTCCAATCCGGCACATGCTCAAAGTGGTATATTACTTGTATATGAATAAATAAAGCTTGCCTGAAGATCAGAATGCAAAACAGCCACACTGGACAGCCATATAAACTAGGCAGTGGTGGCACACACCCCTAATCCCAGCAACCACACTAGTAAACCATACAAGCCAAGTGGTGGTGCATACCTTTAATCCCAGTACTAGAAAGGAATATAAAACAGGAAGAGACAAGTCTCACTCTCAGTCTCAGTCTCAGTCTGAGGATTCATGGAGGCAGGATCGCCCTTTTGGTCTGAAGTAGACATAAGAGTTAGTGATTGGTTGCTTTGCTTTTCTGATCTTCAGCTTGAACCTCAGTATCTGTCTCGGGGTTTTTATTATTCGTGCTACATCTGGTGCCCAATGTTTGGCGTATGAATTCATGAAAGTTGTTTGCCTGTGACTGTAGGCAGGAGCTACACACACACGGCCAGAGTCACCGCCCTATTGGCTAGGTTTTTCTTCTCTCCCAGAACTCCCTTCTTGGGCTGCTGCCAAACTAGGTAACTGCCTTGAAATCCAGTCAGGCTTTTACTGTTTTATGCAGCAAGTTAAAGGGCAAGATCAGCACCCTTAGAGGAATGGATCCGAGATACAATCAATATCGAATCTCATGAACATGAGGATACTTGGATAGGAGAGGTGATTTCCAGAGGTTTGAAGAAAAATAGAAATAGAAATGTCAAGTGTTTCAATTGTGGCAAACAAGGTCACCTTAAAAGGGATTTAATCAGGGCAGTCCTAGAAACAATGTTTTTTTTCCTAAGCGTAATCCATTCAGAACGTCCCCCTCTTCTGAATTATGCAAAAGGTGTGGCAAAGGCAGGCACTGGACTAATGAGTGTAGATCAACAAGGGATATTCAAGGTAATCCTTTGTTATGAGAAATTCCTAGAGGGGCCTCTCACAGGCCCCTATGCCAAATCCGATTCAGTTGTTTCTTCCTATCATAGAGGAAACCCCTTTCCAGAGTAGTGAAAGAACCTAAGACCTACTGCAATAAAATATACTGCTCACGATAATAGAACAGCTATAGAAGAGAGAACAAAATGTTCAGGAGAAACCATAAAGCAAGTATCTTGGCAAACTAAATGAACAATGACCAAGATTAAAAATAAGAATAAACGATGTCATTGAACATCTAGTAGACCAGGTGTGGATGTAACAATAATTCCACCAGAATCTTGGCATCCAAATTGGCCTCTTCAGGAGGTAAATGTTCAGCTTACAAGGATTGTAACTTTATCTCGGGTAAAACACAGTGTGAAAGTGGGTCGAAGATACAGGGCCAGGAGGACAGAGAAGAAAATTAAGTTATATGTGGCTAACATTGTTATGATTTCAGCCACAATAGGCCAACACTTCCAGGTTCATTTAAGAGCCATGAATGTGCAGACAAGCCCTCAGGCAGAAGTGCCTAATGCCCTGGGGATGTTAAAGGGCCCCATGTGACCCACATGCGGCATGGATTACATCATCCATGTATGACTCTGCTAAGCCCTTGCGCACATGCGTGGTTGCATCATCCATGTATGACTCAGCTAAGCCCTTGTGTGCACGCATTAGCCCCATCATCTACATATGACGTAGCCACATCAACCCCGTGCGCATGAGCTAGGAAGCTTTTAAAAGCTGGACGCGCCATCTCTCAGGTTCTCTCTCTGCACACTGACTTCCCCAGGCCTGTACATGCCCCCTCTAATAACCTCCTAAGTGGGTTTGTTGCGTGTTCCGTGTTTCCTTCTCACTCACGCCAGGTAATTTCAAACATAGAAATTTGCAGGGATGTGATTTGATACAGCAATGGGAGATTCAGATTAACAGTCCCCCAATCTTAGAAACAAACCATAAATTAATGTATGTTTCTGGAAAAAACATTACAAGATATTATAAATAATAGTCACCGACCATTCAAGTTATACAAGAACAGGGCACAACAGTTGCTGATATTTCAAAGGTGCCAAGAGTCCTACCTTTAAAATGCCTGACAGATAACCCTCATGGTTGTGCAATGGCCCTTCACAACAGAGAAACTGCAGGCTTTAGAACAGCTGGTACAGGAGCAACTAGATGCTCAGCATACTGGAGAATCAACCAGTCCTTGGAATTGTCCTATATTTGTTGTTAAAAAGAAATTTGGAAAATGGAGAATGATAATAGATCCAAGAGCTGTTAATAAGGTGATTCAGCCAATGGGCTCTCTACAGTCTGGAAATCCTTTGTCTTTTCTATTGCCTAAAGGATAGCCTCTTATAGTTACTGATTTAAAAGACTGTTTCTTCATTATACCTTTACAAAAAAAAGACAGACAAATTTGTGTTCACAGTGCCTACTTATAATAATTCTCAGCCTGCAAAAAATTCCACAGAGAATGTTAAACAGCCCCACCCTGTGCCAATATTTTGTAAGTCAGCCATTGGAAATGAAGCATAAGCACACTGACCTCAGAATGGAAACCAGGACATGTCTCACATTGGAAAAGGGGTTTTACTTTTGTTTCCACAGGAGAAAAAAAGTTAAGCTATGGATATCATCAAAACCGATAAAGTTTCGATTTGAAGAAACACCTCTTAATTAGAAGAAATGATATTTTATCAAACAACATGGCCGTTTAATCTAAACTAACCTATTAAACTAACAAATGCTTTTCATTTGATCAGATATAACTTGCCAAAAGAGAATCTCTCCAAAATTAGGGTTGGGGAGGGTTTTGTTTCTGTCTTTTCAGGAGAATAAGACATCCAGCTACGGAATCCAAAGGCCGCTGGACAATTGAGATATCTGAACCTAAAGAACAAATCGTACCATGAAAAAGAGTAAACTGGCGTATTTGTTGGTATATCACATTTCCAACAAGACAAAATTTCACAAATCTTCCCAAACATTTGTTTTTGCTATCCTCTACAGACATGTCATGTAAATGGTCTTTTGTCGTCCCAGTCCAGTTAGAGATTAAAGCTGGTTTTGGAGTAGGAGTGTGGCTCTCTCCTTCTCTAGACCTAAGCACTTATTAAAGTGAAATCCAAAATCTCTGTCTCCTATTAGAAGAGCCACCTGATATGGGACAGAAGACAAATTGTATTTAAGGAATATTTTATTGCCACTAAGCTCATAATCCTTTGGTTTTATATTGACTCCTTAACAGCTTTCCTTAAGGTATAAAATTTATAAGACCACACACACATTAAACCTTTTGTCATGATACATTACTCATATAGAGTACTAACTAATTCTAGAAAAAGGTTTCATCCTGTAAATGATTTCAGGTTTGATTCTCCATTAGTTTTCTGCAGTCAACCATGAGCACACCTAACAGTGACCTTTGAAATCTCCAAAAGGAGGATGGGGCCCACAGTGACAATTCCTCCAAGACTATAACACCATTAAGCTGAAAAACACCACCTAAAGGTTGGTTTTTGGACTACAACTGCTTCGAGCAGTTTTGAGGTGGCTAGCTGAGATGATCCAGTCTCACAGATTGCTCCAGCCAGGACGTGAGACAAGTCCTGCACTTCCCCATCACACAGAGACTGGACAACAAATTATAAAGCTACCTCTTCCAGGGTTTAACAATTACTCCAATTTTTCTTGCTGTTGCCCTCAAACAGCAGGAAGTAAATTTAAGAATACAATACCCCCCCCCCAAAAAAAGAATACAATACCCACATCCCCAAGAGGTGGGGTGGGTAGATCTGGGTTGTTCAAGGGGTTATGGGTATTTGCCATTGTTTAGGGGAGTTGGTTACAAGTTGTTATTGGCTATGGCCAGGAAGAAAATTGAAAAAAGGAGATATATTCAGAGTTCTTATTTTGAAAAG